AAGTTCAGAGTTTAGGAATTAGGAACAGGTGCTGGCAAAACGTTAGGAAACAAACCTTCAAGAACACGGCCACACGGCCCGGAAGACCCACACCAGCCATCGTATGCCGGCCGTGAAAGCCTTCGACAATACATATTAATAAATTGTTTTTGGCCCCCACATCTAAGTAAGGCTGCAGATAAGTTTCAATTCTCACTTCCTCTCTGCCCTCTAATTGTACTTCTTCCTCAAGGGACAGAAGCTCTTTACTCTCCCAATCTAGAACAGCATAATTAGAAAATATAAAGGAGTACAACTTGTCATATCCGTATACTGCAACAAATTTATTTTAAGCTGTTTAGAGTGTCTAGGATTCATCTGTGGTTCAGAACTGTTCCTGTGCTGCTGTTTCATTTTATTCTTGCTCATTATCTTTCATTATCATTCTTCATACCATTGTTACTCACATCTTTTCATATTAGTACTCCAGCTTACTCCTGTATGTCACAGTGGAAAAAAATGAATAAAATGCTCATAATTCACAGTATAAAACACAGATAAATGGGAAATCACCAAAAAAAAACTAGCAACAACAACGACAAAGCTTTTTTGGTGATCCAGTGGAAGTAGATAATCTAAAATTCAGCAGCTGAGACTTCCGGTTAGAGATGGCAATGTGAGCACTTGTCTCTCTCTTCTCTCATTATTTTCTCTTTTAAGCTATATGAAATATCCACTGTGTGTACACTTTATTAATCCACTAAATTAAAGATATTTACATTGCAGTATTTCATTGAGTTTTGTTCTGAACATGACAACTAGAGCCAAGAAGCATGTTGCTTCAGCTCCAGTATTAACCATTCCATGGTACCAGAGGAAGACACAATGGGTAATTTATTGAGAGATATTCTTTGCCATTTAAAAGCTTTGAACCCAATACAAGAACCTATCTTTTCTCTCTGAACATCAACTACAAAGACCAGTAGTATTCTTAAACAGTTCTAAGAAAAAGTTTCTAATTTGGAATATGAATTAAAGCCCAGGAAATGATGGTGGTTGCCAGTCACAATGGTCTGAATAATTGCATTAGTTTTTTGGAATCTTAACTATGCAGGAAAAATTTGCCAGTGATTAGTATTTGGAGAATTGAATATTGTAAAAGAAGCATGCTAGGATTAATGATGACCCAGAAATGAAGTAGCCCCTAATGCTTTTAGATCTGACTACCCAATCAACCAATGTTGGTGTATGGCCATAAAGTGCCATATAAAGTGCTATAACAATGGGATGTATAACTGCACAAAACGACCATAAGCTATTGGAAGATACGATTGTTTTTCCCTAGAAGGTATTTAATCAGCTAGCCTGATTTATTCAGTATGCTTGTGTTCCATCTGGTGACAGTAGAAGCAGTAATAAGAGGATGGAAGCCTCTCGACTATCAGGCAAAGATTGAGTTAGACTTAGATTGTGAGCCTAGACAAAAGCTTATGTCCCCAACCAAAAAAAAAAAATACAACAAACTGATGATATCTTGTCAGAAGAATTATAGATGCTAAATGAATCCTGTACAATTCTCATGATACTGCTGGAGTATTAATAGAGCCAGCTTAATCAGTAATTAAAAGTGAGTCATACCAGTTGGTCTTAGATACTCTAGTTATGCAGCATACTCTTTCTCAGGATACTCTGGGGAATTTCCATTTTGACTTCTATCAACAACATAAAATGATGTATCTCCTTCTCATTAGGCCTATGTAACACCCAACTGTAGTGGATAATTTTCATCCAGTCTCCAATCTTCCCTTTTTAGGGAA